GAGATAGACTCCCTGGAAACTTACAGGCCTGTTAGTCTGTGCACATGGTGGAAAAACAGCAAAAAGACCTTGTTTCAAGGTGGAAGGTAAGGACTGACCCCAAGGCTGTCCTTTGACCTCCACATTCTTGTGGTGGTATACATTTCCCTGTATTCACACATATGAATGCACATGTGTACACACATACACATAAAGAAGTAAAAGTACTATTGATTAACTCTCTTAGCAATATCACTTTATGGTCATAATCAATATTGATCATATCAATACTAATCACAGAAGATGCCCACATTCCTTAAACATGAAGACTGCCCTAGGTCTATCCTTTGCAAGGCCTTTTTCAAGTTTGTCCACTGACTGGCATCTGGCAGCTCAGATTCAGGGAAGCTCCTACTGTGCCCTGGCAGGAACTACTCCCTGTGTGTCTATACCATCTATGCAACAGTGTGGTCCCTCTGAGTACTGGGTTCTTCTGAGAGTCCAATAGCTGGACAGTGCCTAAGTGACCTTCACTCAGAGAAACCCGGGCTCTGAGACCCTATCAGTTTCTACAGTATGTATTTCAGATATGCTATCCTCAAGGTGATCTTGGACCCATTTCAGAACCATGGAATTAAAGTAACTGGTCCCCAGGGTAGTGACAGATTCATGATTCAAGGCTTCATGTCATGTGCCTGATTTATTATTTTGATTTTTCCCCCTTTGGCTTTTTGAGACAGGGTCTCCCTGTAGTCCCAGCTGGCCTGAAACTCACTATGTAGACCAGCCTGACCTCGATCTCATAGAGATTCCACCTGCCTCTGCCTCCTGCGTGCTAGGATTAAAGGTATACATCACCACACCCAGCTTTATTTTATTATTTTTTTAAAGATTGACTTTGTGTGTTGGTATATGTACACATGTATGTGCAGGTGCCTGCAGAGACCAGAAGAGGTCATGGGATCCCTTAGCGCTAGAGTTAACAGGTGATTATGAGCTGTTGGAGAGGGTGGCTAGGATCAGATCTCTGGTCCTCATGATTGAGCAGCAAGTGCTGAGCCACGTCTCCAGCCCCCTCACTGTCTGATTTTAAAGTTTACACACTACGATGCTACTGTCTTCCCTTTCAGGGAGGATCTCTGTGATAGTTAATATTCATTGTCAATTTGACTGAATTTGTAATTACCTAGGAGATATTTCTCTGGGAGTGTCTATGCGAGCATTTCCGAAGAGGTATGACTAACAGGGGAAGGCCCACCCTGGATCTAAGCAGCACCATCCCATAGCTAGGGTCCTGAGCTAAATAAAAAGGGGAAAAAAGAAGAAAATTAGCTGAGTACCAGCATTCCCTCTCCCTTCTGGTCTGCCTAGCCATATGCTTGTAGCATCACAAACTTTGCCATGCCTTCTCTGCCAAGATAAACAGTTCTCTCTTAAACCATGACACAAAATAAATCCTCTCCTGTGAAGCTGCTTCTGTCAATATTTGGTGACAGCAATGGGAAAGATAACTAATAAGTTAGCTCAGGACATAGCAGGGCTGAGGAGAAATTGTCCAAGGGCAGGTCCCTGGAAGAGAATGTCACATCTGTGCTACACACTGTAGTTAGGGTGCTATGAGATAAAAGGGTTACAACCAGAGAACTGAGGACTTGATCTGATATTAGTGGATGTAAGAGGAAGAGTGACCTTGTCACCCTCCAGCCATGCAACCTTGGACAATTTCTTAATAGTCTCCATACCTATAATTTGGAAATAAAACTCAAGACTGTTTTGAAGATTACATTAAAATGATGTATATTAGGCAGATGACAATATCTGGCACAAGATCCTGCTTCTCCATTATAAGTCTGTAACAGGCATGCCCCAAACCCTCCCTGATGATCTGCAATGGTGATGATCCCTTCCAGGAAAGGGTGAAAATCAGACTTGGGCTTTTCCCAACATTGCCTCAATGGGATTAATTTGGGAAACTGCACATCACGGTGTCCTTGTGAAAATTCATAATACACATTAGTATATTAAAAAGCTCAGAAAATCCTTACCGTAAAGGAACTTATTTGATTTCTTTTAAATTTGTTTGGCTCTTTTGTTTTTCAAAATAACTACTGTACTTTGCACTTTGAAAATGCTATTCCAGCAAACAAGTCTTTTAAAACTGCTAAGGGGGTAGGGAGTGTCATTGCGGGAGAAACATAAAAATATTTCAGAACATCTAATCCCTTTCTAGGTTGCAAAAAAAAAAGTCTTTCCAAAAACCCTTAAGGCCAGTGTGTAGCAAAGCATGGAGCACAAACCCAGCTTATGTGAGTCCCTGAGTTCAGTTTCCAGCACCAAAAAGAAATAAACACACAAGAAAGCCCTCAAAAAATATGATGTTTTATGCTATATTTTTAAAACGTATCTATTTATTTACTTACTTACATACTTATTTATATGAGTGTTTTGCCTGCATGTATGTAAGTATACCACATTGTTTGCAATGCCCACAGGGGCCAGAAAAGGCTATCAGATCCTCTCGAAATGGAGTTATGGACAGTTGTTAGTTGCCATGTGGGTGCTGGGAACAAAACTCAGGTCCTCGGCAAGAGCAGCCAGTGCTCTTAACCCCTGAGTCATTTATTCAGCCCACAAAATAATCATTCATATTCTGGTCACAACCCCTCCCCTTTGGGTGTATGGGGGGAGGTGTGTGTAATGTATGCACATGTGTGGGTGTGCACATCCTTGCATATGCACACAGGGCAGAAGAGTCAGGTGTCCTGCTCCATTGCTCTTCTCCTTATTCTCCTGAGACAGGGTCTCTCATTTAACCTGGAGCTAGGCTGGCAGCCAGCAAGCCTCAGTGAGCCTACTGTCTACATCCTCTATAGCACTAGGGCTACAGGCAAAGGAGGCCATACCTTCCTGGCTTTTTACATGGATGCTGGGGATTTGAACTTGGGTCCTCATGCTTGCACAGCAAGAGCTCTTACCCGCGGAGCCTTTTCTTCAGCTCTCAAAGCCCCTTTAATTTCAAAAACTTTTTGAGGACAGAGGGATGAGGCACAAAAAACTTAAGATGAAGGATATATTCACTATCTTTATGGTGATGATAGATGGCACAACAGTTAAAATTTAAGTACCAACTTGGCTAGGCTATAGTACCCACTTGTTTGGTTAAATAGTAGTCTAGATAGTACCACAAATGCATTCTGTAAATATGACTAACATCTTCAAGGAGCTGATTTCACTAAAGGTCTCCATCCTCCATTCAATTGGCTGACAATATTAAGAATCAAAGCTGGAGTCTCCTGAGAAGAAACTGTCACAACACTGGAAACCCAAACGACAGCAGTCCTGCCTGAACTTCCTGAAAAGTCCAGCCAGCTTGTCCAACAAATTCAAACACAGCCTACCACATTAACTCCTGCCTGAGTTTCTAGCCTGCCAGCCTGCCGTATGAATTTCAAGCCACACAATGGTGTAAGTCAATTCCTTAAAACAGGCTTTTCCTATATTCATATATCTAATGATCTCTGGAGAGTCCTAACAAAGATGAAATTACGTGTACATGCATATATCAAAAGTTACTGAGTTGTGTACTCTATGTATATACAATTCTATATGAAAATTCTGTTAGTAAAGCTATAAAAAAATACTATAAAAAAAAGCTAAAAAAAATTTTAGTCTCCCCCCGGGCGTGGTGGTACATGCCTTTAATCCCAGCACTTGGGAGGCAGAGGCAGGCGGATCTTTGCGAGTTCGAAGCCAGCCTGGTCTACATAGTGAGTTCCAGGACAGCTAGGGCTACAGGGAGACCCTATCTCAAAAAGACAAAAAAAAATTTTTTAATTCAGTCTTTTCATTTGTTTGGATTACCTCTGTCAATTAGCTACTGAATTAGAAATTAGCACAATTTTTAAATATTTAATATACATGAATATGTATTTAAATAAGTATATTGATTGGCTGTGGCAGCACATGACAGCTACTCAGGAGACGGAGGCAAGATAGCTGTAAGTTATAGGCAAGTTGGGAAACTTAGCAAGACCCTATCTTAAAATAAAATTGAAAGAGGAAAAAAGAAAACCAAGGGCTACAGGTATATGGCTCAGGTATATGGAATCAATGGTAGAGCACCTGCACAGCTTATAGCAGGCCAGGCCATGGCCTCAGAACGAACTGAGTACTTCACATACATACCTCCACATTAATACACACACTACATATATACGCAGACATGCATAATATGTAAGACCTATATTTTTGAAAATGAAAAATGCTACCAAGAAAAATATTTTGTTCTCATATTTGTGCAAATCCCTTTAGGATCTGGCTGAAAAGAAGAAACTGGGTTTTCACTTCTTCTTCAGCATGCAGATATTGTGAGATATTCTGCTTGAAGTCTACAGAGTTGGAAAGGGTAGGAGTATTCTACCAGCTCTTCCTGTCCATCTTTTTTATTTTAATATATATATATATATTTATTTTTATTTTATGAGTATGAGCATTTTTCCTGCATATATGTAAGTATACCTGTGTCATGCAGTACCCATGGAGTTTAGAAGAAGGTGTCAGATACCCTGGAACTAGAGTTATAGACAGTTGTTAGCCACCATTTGGGTGCTGGGAACCAAACCTGGGTCCTTGTTGTGGTCCTTGTTGTTAGTGCTCTTGACCACTGAGCATTTCTCCAGCCCTTTAGCCCAGCCTTTTTGATATCACACCTGATTCTATGATTAAGTCCTTGGAAGATACACTGGAAAATAACAGATGTTCAACATGCAAATATTCATTAACAATTCTTTACAATAAAAAAGAAAAAAATGTAAGCAATACCCCTGTGAACTGTAGATCAAAAAAGACTGAATTGGGAACTGTTTAAAATAAAGCACATTTATGGTATAAAGCATTTCTAAGTTATATTTAAACTCTAGTTGCTGAGTCATATGTCCTAGCAACTTAAGTTATAAAATTATATTTCAAGTCATTCAATTTAGATTGTATACAAACAGAATGGTAAAAGAAAGTAAACTTACTCGATCTGCCAATCCTCCAGGAACAATCGTCCTCACAACCACACCACTTGACTTTCCTCCAACTATTCCAAAACCTAATCCAGAGCCATCATTAATGAGCTCAACATCTTCAATGTGGCCCCAACATACCTACAGATCAATGACAAGTTAAAGTCACAGTGTCAGTAAATCACAGTCTTTGGTTTCCTATATATTTATATGTAACAGATTTGTAAGACATTGAAAATTCATACAATTAACCAAGATAACTCTCTAGAGACTAAGATATGGATACATACATAGGTAGGTAAAAGATAAAAGATGATTGAGAGAGAGAGAAAAGAGGGGGGAAGGAGCAACCCAGAGAGCCATGCCCTTAATGGTATTATAATCCAATGGAGAAAATAAACACAAGTAAGGTGGGGGTACTGGAGAGATGGCTCAGCAGTTAAAAACACTGGCTGCTCTTATAGAGGACCCGAGTTCAGTGCCCAGTAACCACATGGTGGCTAAGAACCATCTGTAAGTCCAGTTCCAGGGGATCTGATGTCCTCTTCTGGCCTCCACAGGTATTGTACATGTGGTGCACTTACTCAGCAGTAAAGAACAATGAAATAAGGAAATCTGCAGGTAAATGGATGGAACTGGAAACTGTTATACTAAGTGAAGTAACATAGACTCAGAAAAACAAAAGATGTATGTTCTTCCTCATCTGTGGATCCTGGCACCAAAACATTACATGTAAGTACATATTCTGATGTAACTGCAGGAACCAGGAAAATGGAAAGTAACCAGAAAGGGAAAGGGAAAGAAGGAAACCGAGAGAGAAAAACAGTAGGAGACAGGTGTTACTAAGGGAGAAATGGGTAAAATGGGGGTAGTTAAATGGTAAGGGGAGAGAGAGGGCTATACAGGGAACTATGGGGATAAAAAGTTATGCTTGGCATGCTGGGTCCCACCTGTAATTCCAGCAACTGAGGCAGAAGCAGGGGAATTTCACAATTGTCACAATTGTCAGCCTGGTCTACAAAGTGAGCGCCAGGGTTACATAATAAGATCCTATCTAAAAATAAGGCTTAGTTTTCATTCTGAAGATGCTGTCCAAAACCAGAAAAATGTTGGGGAGATGGTCAGTGGGTATAGTGCCAAGCAAGCAGAATAACCTGAGTTCAAATCCCCAGCACCCACGTAAAAAGCTGGATGTGATGATTCACACCTCTATCCTCTAAGCTGTAGGGGAAGAGACAGGACAACCCCAAGGACTCCCTGGCCATCTAGTTTATCTAAAACTGGAGCTCCACGCTCCATGAGAGCTTGTCTCAAAAAAATAAGAGAGTGACAGAAGAAGACACATCAACACCTGGCTGCTACACACCCAAGATCAGAAGAGTGCACACACATGTATATACCACAAACATACACACAATTAAAAAGCAAATTTGTAAAATACAAGTTTAAAATATAAAAGAGACAACTGAGTTCCATTCCCCAGAATCCACTTAGTAGAAAGAAAGAAAGAAAGAAAGAAAGAAAGAAAGAAAGGAAGGAAGGAAGGAAGGAAGGAAGGAAGGAAGAAAGAAAGAAAAACAATTCCTGTAAGTTTTCCTCTGACCTCCTCATGTACACCATGGCACACTCAATCCCTGGCCCCCAAATTAATTAATTAAATAAATAAATGTAAAAAAAGTTTTTTAAGAGACATCTGCTTTTCTTCTTTTTTAAACTATTTAGTGCATATACTTACACTAAAAAAAAGACTACTATAATTTTGTAAAATCAATAATCTAGTCATAAACTCCCATTAGAACAAATAATGTTTTGAAATAACCTCATCTTTTTTAAGCGAGTCAACAGTAAACATGTAATAACAACTCTCCATTAAAGTCAGGCATGGTGGCACACACCCATAATCTCAACACTTGGGAAATTGAATGAAGATTTTAAGTTCAAGGCCAACCTGGGCTACATAGCAGGTTCCTTACTATCCCCACTACAACCACCAAAAGAAAAAAAAAAGAAAGAAAGAAAAAAAAGCTCTCAATTAACTGGCTATGTCTTCAAAGAACACAAGACTTTCTATCACCAAATAAGTTATACCTAATATTGAATTTGGCCTCTATAATCTTAAATAAGGACACCCATAGGACACTGAGATGACAAAGCAAAACCCTCCAAAGAAACAGCTGTTGCTAATGCTGTATTTAAAGATATAATCATCTTTCTTGATCTGTGATAATAAAAATGACACCTCCAAATGACCACCAACTATTCTTATAATAACAACACAATTCAAAATAAAACACCTATCCAAGTTCACAACTTACCGATTCAGGCAGGGTTGTATCAACTGAGCTGGTAGAAGTTCTGCTTTGTGCGTGGCCTGCTTCCCTGGCCACAACCAGACGCAGAGACCCAGTGGTTTGTTGTAGTAATGCAATAGCCTGCTGATGGGAAATATTCTGATCCAGTGGGGTATCATTAATAGCCAAAATTTGGTCATTTTCCTTCAATCTGTGATCCCTTAATCATACAAGAAAAGAAAATTTTATTTTAAGTAGTATAATAAATTAATTTTTTATTTAGTATTTAACTTAAACAGTTTATTGCTTTATGGCACTACTTTACCCAAATAATAATTTGTTAAATAACAGAACTTATCAGTGCGCTTTACATAAAAGCACTAAACATATTAATTAGATAATACATCCCTCAACACACACACACACACACACACACACACACATACACACACACACGCACACACACATATTTTAAAGGCCATTTAGCTAGAAAACTTAACAGAAACAATTCATAAGACCTTATTCTTAAGGTACTGCAGGTGTGAACACTACACTAGCCCTGAGCTCCTTAATGCTTTCCAACGTGATCTACACCCACACCACACCTTAGCTTCATCAGTAACCTCACCACAAGCAAATTCAGAACTTCTTCACTGTCCTCTATTTCTCCACTATTTGTCACCATCCTAAAAGTCCACAGCAATTACTTCCAAATCTGGAACTGAGCCTTTCTCTCTCTCCCAATGACCAATGTCCAGCTGCCAAACAAGGTTAAAAGGATTACTGTTTTAAATAGTCATAAAATCTAGAAGGAACAGGGCATGGTGGTGCACACCTATAATCTCATTTCAGAGGCTGAAGCAGAATAATCACGTCTGAGGCTAATCTTGGCTACACAGAGAAAGACTGCTTTGAACAAATGAAAAAGAAGAGAAGGATAGGTCTGGTAGTGCATGCCTGTAATCACTCAATGCATGGGAGGCTGAAGCAGGAGGATCAGAAGTCCAAGGCCAGCTTGGGCTACAAAAGACACTGTTTCAAACAAACAAACAAACAAACAAATAAGCAAACAAAAAAGAAAAAAGAAAAAAAAAAGAAAAAAAGGCAATATTATACTTTACGTTTACTGCAACTTATGTGTCAGGAACTATGATAAGTAGCTGGGGTGCATTATCTAACTTAATCTTCATAATCACCCTTTTTTTAGGTATTTTTTTTTCCTGTGGGGGTGTCCTTTTCCTGTATGTAGGTCAAAGGACAACATTCGGTAATCAGTTTGTTCCTTCCACCATGTAAGTTCCAAAGGGATCAAACTCAGGTCATCAAGCTTAGTGGCAAGTGTTTTGTTTTGTTTTGTTTTGTTTTTTGAGACAGCGTCTCCCTGTAGCCCCAGCTGTCCTAGAACTCACTATGTAGACCAGGCTGGCCTCAAACTCACAGAGATCCACCAACCTCTGCCTCCCGAAAGCTGGGATTAAAGGCGTGCACCACCGCAACGGCAGTGGCAAGTGTTTTAACTCACTTGAGTCATCTTGCTGGCCCCACAACCTCCTTTTAAAGTAGTTAAAACTATATGCAAGAATGGACCAGAACAAGCAACTTCTGAGCTCCAGGCACAGGGTGAGTTCAGGTAACATTCAAAGCCACCTGCACTATATACTCTTCCACCCTGGATTCAGTCCCATAGAAGCCACTCCAAACACTCAGATCTAGTTTCTCTCTGAAACATGCCTGGGTTTCCTGCTCTTGTATAAACTGGTTCTTCTACTCCCTAACGACTTTCCACTTTCTCTCAGAACTGAAGCTCACCAATTTGGCTAGACTGGCTGGCCAGGGACCATCCTGTCTCTTCCGCTCCAGCACAGAGATTACAAGTACACATGCCTGAATCAAGCCTTTTTTTACATGAATGCTAGGGATCCACTCAGGTCTTCATGTTTGTATGCAAGTACTTTACTGACTAAGCAATCTACACAGTCTCTCTTTTGGTTTTTTTGAAATAGGGCCCCATTCTGTAGCATGAGTTAGCCTGGAACTCACTATGTACACCAGGCTGGCCTCCATCTCACAACCTTCCTTTATCAACCTCCCAAGTAATGGAATTACAGACACATGCCACTATAGAAGCCAAACCTACTTACGGCTTTTCCCAAATTTGATTTGATTTTTTTAGAAAATATTTTGTTATTTTTACTTTATGTGTAAGAATTTATTGTCTGCATGTATGTAAATGCACCCATGTCACACAATACTCTCGAAGGTCAGAAGAAGAAGACATCAGATTCCCCTGGAACTGGAGTTAAGGATGGTTGTTGGCCACCATGTGGGTGCTGGGAATCTAACCTGGATCCTGTGCAAGAGCAGTCAGTGCTTTTAACAGATGAGCCATCTCTCCAGCCCCTCAACTTTGATTTTATTTTTTTAATCTTTTTTTTTTTTTTAAGTCTTTTTGAGACAGGGTCTCCCTGTATCCCCAGCTGGCCTGGAACTCACTATGTAGACCAGGCTGGCCTTGAACTCACAGAGATCTGCCTGCCTCTGCCTCCCAAGTGCTAGGATTTCAACTTTGATTTTAATAAGCTATTTTTATATATCATAAAATACTACAAAAGTATTTTTGTGTTTCTTTATCAACTGAATAAATGCATAGCTAAGTACTTTTGTTTCTTTTCACTTAGTTATAATCTTAAAAATTTTTCCTGTAATTTTAATATTATAGACCTCCATGTGCCCCATCAATGTTCCATATTAATTTATCCATTTGTTATGTGAATGTACTGCCTGCATGTAGGTAAGTGCACCCGTGTCGTGCAATGCCCACGGAGGTCAGAAGAGACTGTCAGATCCCCTGGAACTGGAGTTATGGACAGTTGTTAGCTGCCATGTGGGTGCTGGGATTCCAACCCGGGTCTTCTGCAAGAACAACCAGTGTTCTTAACCGCTGAGCCACCTCTCCAGCCCGTGAATGTATTTTTTCATTGTATTTTGGCAAAGAATTATACAAACATCTTACACGGGATTTTTTTTTTAAGACTATTAGCCTATTGCTTTACTACCTGGGGTTGTTCTGCTACTTTTATGAACACATAGGCACATATATTTTATTCTCTTAATATTCAAAATCCCAGTACCACACAGAATAACCCCCTCACTTATCATTCCACTAACCAACCACTGTATGCTATGCAGTGCATTGGAAATCATGAGACACAAAGACACTTAAGTCACCAGCCATCCCATAACCTCATTAACAGGAAGGAAAGAAGAAAAAAAAGTATACTCAAAATATATTACAGGGCTAGTGAGATGGCTCAGCAGGTAAAGGCATCTGTCACATAAGCCTGCTGACCTGACTTTAATTCCCAGAACCAGATAAAGGTAGAAGGGAAGAATCAACTCTATAAAGTTGTCCTCAGAGCCATACATGCGTTGTGGCATGGAAGTTCCTCCCCTTTCTCTTTCTCTCTCTCTCTCTCTCTCTCTCTCTTCCTCTGGCTCTCTCTCACACACACACACAAACACACCATACACACATAATAACAATTACTTAAAAATAAATAAACGTGTTATATAAACCAGCTACTCTGCATGTTTTGAGGAGACTTAAAAACAAAGATAGTTATTCCTTGGTGTTCATGTTATTCACGTGGTTCTGGGAACCCCTATACCAAAATGGTATAATATACATGTAACACATGACATCCTCCTGTATACAGTAAATCATTACTAGATTACTTATAAATCTAATACAATAAAGATAGTATATAAATACTCATTACATTGTTCAGTACTTTTTAATTTTTTAAGTATTTCCAATACATGATTAGATGAATCCATGAATGTAGAGCCTACAAACAGATCTATTGAGTCTTTTCTATGAGTGAGGCACTCTACTATCCAATTTATTAATATTATATAATTTGTATCTTACCATAATATTACCATTTTAAAGATAAAGAAACTAAAAGTTTTAGTAAAATTAAATGATAAGCAAGATCACACAGCTAGAGAGAAAAACAGCATCAACCTCACACTGAAGAGTTCTTTGCCTAATGAGCCTGTAACAAAAGTACTTTCTCCCAGACAACCCTGTCTCAGAGATATTGGTAATACTTTCATGTCTTGAGGATCAAAAGTTGAATGTGCTTGGCATGGTGGTGCATGCCTTTAGGCCAGGCTGGCCTCAATCTCACAGAGATCTACCTGCCTCTGCCTCCCAAACTTTGGGATTAAAGACATGCACCACCACGCCTGGCTATAACAGAATTCTTGAGATTGCATAATTTATGATGAACAGAGATTTACTGGCTTACAGCTCTGAAGCTGAGAAGTCCAGTGTCCAGGTGTTCACATCTGGCTTGGGCTTCTTCTTGTGCTATCACATAGTAAAAGGCAAGATGAGACACAACAAGAAGGAACCAAACTCATCCTTTTGTGAAGACACTAGTCTTACCCATGAGAGGACATCCTCATAGCCTGACCATCCCTTAGAAGTCCCACCTCTTAATACTGTACAATGGAAATGAAATTTCCACAGGAGCTTTGGAGATAGACATTCAAACCATAGTAGAAACCTTCCTAGACACCTTGTTGACATGCTGTCATTAAAGTGTTTACCTTAGCTGGATTTGGTGGCACTGCCTTTAAACCCAGCAGAGCCAGGGGGTAGATCTCTATGAGATCAAGGTCAACCTGGTCTACACAGAAAGTTCCAGGCCAGATGGCGGTACAGGGAGACCCTATCTCAAAAAGAACAAAAAAGGAATTCAGTTATAGCAAACTGGACTAAGGCAGATCCTCACAATCACTTTATAAAAGAACAGAGAAATGAATGCTGAATGTAGGGGCAAGCAGTCAGGATGGATAATAAACACATTATATCAGCACTTCTCAAGATGTTCCAGAGAACAGATGTTGTTTAAAGAATGAAGATAAATTGTTGCCAAGGAATAGAAGGGGGAAGGAGTGGGGAGTAACTGTGAACATGACCAACAGGGTGAGAGTTTCTTTGCTGGTTGATGGAAATGTTCTACTATTAAATAGGGGGAATGATTGCATAATACTCTGGATATACTAAAAGCCACTACACTGTGAACTTCAAAATGCTATTTGAATTATACCCCAATAGATCTATTATTCTGAATTTTGAGTTAGCCTAGAATTATCTATAAACAGAGGAAGCAAGTTGGAAAAATACATTATTGACAATTTTATAATTAT